AAAAAATTAACTACATTATATTTAATTTACTTACTGTCTTCAATTGAAAATGAGACAGTCTATGCTAATGTCTAAGTTAGTGAGAGCCATGATGATGCCATAGTTCTGTATTGGGCTTCTAATCTCAACCTCGGGAGTGTGAAATCACCAACTGATCCTTGGGAGAAAGATGAGATTTTCTAGTCCTATAAAGAGTTACAGTTTGTAAAACCCACAAGGGCATTTCAAACCTGTCCTACCAGGTTACTATGAGTTTGCAAGGACTTGATAGCAGTGAGTTTGTTTTGGTTCAGTATCTCAGTTCAATATCATGAACTGCCAAAATAAAAAACAAATTTGTCTTGGCAGAAGTACAAAGAGAACACTCCCTAGAGGCGAGGATGGCAAGACGTTTGTCTCCAATAATGTGCTCAAGCATAAGAACAACTATGGGGATGGCATAGGGCTTGGTCGTGTTTTGTTCTGTTGGACACAGATACATAGTGTCACTATGAGTAGGAACCGTCTGTATGGCACTTAAGACAACAACAACAATTTCTTGACAAGGGAGCCCTGCGGGCATAATGGGTCACACATTAGGGCAGCCAACCACAAGGTCTGCCCTAAGAAACAATCAGCTGTCCACAGGTAGAAAGATGAGGCTTCATCTTCTAGAAAGTTGCTCCATCTGACAGGTTAGGATTACGTGTGTGAGCTTCTAAACTGTAACACATGCCATGTATTTTTGACATATTATCAGGAGAGACCAGTCCCAAGGCAAGGACATCATGCTTGGTAAACTAGAGGGGCAGACAAAAGGGGAAGCCCTCAGTGGGATGGATTGGCACAGTGGCTGCAACAATGGGCTCAGATATAAGAACAACTGTGAGGACGGCAAAGGTCCAGGCAGTGTTTCGTTCTGCTGTGCATAGGGCTGATACGGGGAAGACCCACTCAATGGCACCTACCAACAGCAAATCTTAAGGGAGTACAAAGCCTCAGCTCTCTCCTGAAGACCATCTGTGGTGTCAAACTGCTTACCTGATGGTTAGCAGGCCAACTCATAATCACTATGCCATCAGACCTCCTGTGAGTCAGCATCAACTCAATGGAAGTGAATTTACTTTGTTGGTTTCAATGGTAAACAGTTAGTTTGGGGAAACCCTGGGAGCAGTTCTACTCTCTCCTACAGGGTTGCTATGAGTCAGAATGGACTTAATAGTAGGAAGTTTGGTGTTTGGGTGTGAAATTCCTGAAAGGAAAAAAAAATGATGTCCTAATTTTCCTCATTGCAAGTTGCATTAAAGAGATCAGTTTATGTTTCCAGTTTCCTGTGCACCATCTTCAATCCATTTACTGATTCATTTAATTCTCTAAGTCAGCTATGGAGTTACATTCAGGATGCAACAAGGTAAGTAAACTCAGCTATGTACATGCAGGGAGCCAACTATACAATGAAAGAAAATGCCGTTATTCAAACAAATGAAATAAAACTAGCAAACATGAAATTTAATAATGACTGAATTCTGAAATGTATCTCTCAAATTTTATATTTCAAGAGGAGTTTGAATTTTGATTTTTCTATTGGATTGTTTGTTGGTTTTTTGGTTGAAAAATTTAAAATAAGCTTGTAATCATATCTAATTGTATCCCATTTTCATTATTATATTATTTTAGGAAATTAGGATTCTCATAAAAGGAGGAAAAATCATATAATATGGAGCTGATAGAAGGAAACTACACCTTGGTGACTGAGTTTATACTATTAGGTTTTCCAACTCGCCCTGCATTACAGATTGTCCTATTCCTTGTGTTTCTGCTGTTATATGGTATGATTCTCATGGGGAACATTGGCTTGATGATGCTAATCAGAATAGATCCCCATCTACAAACCCCTATGTATTTCTTTCTTAGCAACCTGTCCTTTGTAGACCTTTGCTATTCCTCGGTCATTGTTCCCAAAATGCTGACCAATTTCCTCTCAGAGAACAAATCGATTTCGTATCATGGCTGTGCCCTGCAGTTCTATTTTTTCTGTACTTTTGCAGACACTGAATCCTTTATCTTGGCTGCCATGGCCTATGATCGCTATGTGGCCATCTGTAACCCTTTGCTGTATACAGTGGTGATGTCCCGGAGCATTTGTGTATGGTTGATTGTCTTATCCTACGTTGGTGGCAACATGAGCTCCCTGGTCCACACATCCTTTGCTTTCATTCTGAAATATTGTGACAAAAATGTGATTAATCACTTTTTCTGTGATCTCCCTCCATTGCTTAAGCTCTCATGCACAGACACCTCAGTCAATGAGTGGCTTCTCTCCACATACGGCAGCTCCGTGGAAATCATCTGTTTCATCATCATCATCATCTCCTACTATTTCATTCTTCTCTCCGTCTTAAGGATTCGCTCTTCCAGTGGGCGGAAAAAAACCTTCTCCACCTGCGCCTCTCACCTGACTTCAGTGGCCATCTATCAGGGGACACTGCTGTTTATTTACTCACGTCCCAGCTCCCTGTATTCTCCCAACACTGACAAAATCATCTCAGTGTTCTACACCATTATCATCCCAGTGCTGAACCCACTGATTTACAGTTTGAGAAACAAAGATGTGAAAGATGCAGCGAAGAAAGCTCTAAGATCAAAGACAGCTGCCTCATAACATAGTAAGCTCTAGGGACTCACCCCACTCGCACTCCCTAGTTTCCAACTGCAATGGGCCATCTGCAATCACTTTCCAGCACTCAGATGACTTTCCTCACCAGGGCCTTTACTGAACAGTCTCTTATACACAGTCAATTACCCCAATGTGCAAGCCCACATTCCAAAGGGTCAGATGCCGCTCAATAATATAATGGTCTGTAAATGTTTCTAGTATGGTGCTTCACTACAATGCATTGCATCAGGCTAGTTAAACCTATATGGTAAATACCTCTGAATATTGTTTATATGTGAGGTTGCACAATATTTAATATGCACAGATAGATTACTGAATGGTAGAGGAGCCGGGTCGCTTTGGTTTATGTGCCAGCTCTTCCCCTGACTAGGACACAGCACTTTAAACAAGCTCAGTCTCCTTAATATGTGAAATGGAGAAAATACAAGATCATTGATTGTTGAATGATGAAGTGAGTTAATACTCAGCCATATGACCTTCATTAAAGCTCTGAATTGTACACTTTAAAAAGAAAAATATCATAGTGCATGAATCATACTGCTCAACATAAAAAAAGAAAGAAAACATTGCCATTAAAAGCTAGTATCATTTCTAAATCATTTCGTGAATGAGAATGCTTCAAAGGTTGAAAATCTTTATGGAAGCGGACTGCTTCACTTTTCTCCTGCTGAGTAACTGATGGAATTGAAGCAGCAAATTTTAGTGTAGCTGCCCGATGCTTAAAGCTGATGCCACCATTAATCCTGCCTACCAGTACAAAGGCATACAAATAAGTTTTTTGAAAATAATTTAATGAAAGAGCATTTGCAAGATATATGACAACTTCACATGGTTCTGCTGAATTTTTGTGTAGGCAAATCCTTGAACATGTGTTGTTTCATAAGCAGGAACTTGAATGTGTGCTGAAAAGATCTTATAAGAATCAACACCCTTAAAGTTTGCAACAAATATACAAACATAAATTCCTTCCATGAGAAGGTCTGAGTGTGGAGTGGGTGACCCATTAGACTGCTAACTGCAAAGTCAACCACTTGAAATCACCGGCAGCTTTGCAGTAGAAATATAAGATTTTCCATAGTCCCATAATGTTTTGGAGATCCAAAGGAAGTGTTATACTGTGTCCTATAAAGGTTGTGATGAGTCAGACCTGACTCGGCTTCAGAGCTTTGGTTTGGGGAAACTTATTCAATATCGAAGACTTTCTTGTTTTCGCTGAAAAATGCCCTCGATTTGAAGCATTTCAGATTACTAAGAAAGGCCAGGGGGGATCATGCGCTTCAGTTGATTTCCAGAGTGACAGTATATGCATGTGTAATATGTCCAAAGTCAAATTCAATCATCCTATTGGCCCCTATAAAAATATACTATTAGAATTCTAATTCTAACGTGGATATTTGAAGTCCATTCAATAAAGCATTTAAGTTCAATAAAGAAATGCTAAAATGGTATAAGCTGTTTTGTCAAGTGTGTAATATCCCTGTGCCAAATTGATGTAAAGTGGCACTGTTGAGTAAGTCTTGCACTACTCACTGCAAGTTGGGGTTTAAACCAAGCAGCCACTCCATGGAAGGAAGATGCGGCTATCTGCTTCCCTAACGATTTCTCTTGTTCACAGTCATGGCCGTCACATTGATTCCAACTCATAGCGACTCTGTAGGACAGGGTAGATGAGTTTGAATTGTGGTGCTGGTGAATACTATTGAAAGTACCAGGTCCTGCCAAATGGGCCAACAAAACTGTCTTGGAAG